CCTCTCTATATAATTTACGTTCATCTATAATTTTACGATGTGCATCCTGCACTTCATACATAGTACCTGGAATTAAAGCATTAAGATAGAGAACTGAATTACTGCAGCCTGTTGCTATTGATTGTTCTGTCTCAAACTTTTGCACAACTAAAAATGGTTCTTGTTTTGATTCATTGCTAGTTTGATTAAACCATCACGACCGTATTAGTTGAATATGAAATGTTGCAGTTCGTGTACACAGCATTACTTGAAAGAAGTGGCGACAAACAATTCCATGGTTACAGTGATCAAGACAAGAGCATAAATGTGACCCATTATCCAAAAGTATTACAAAATGCCGTATGTCATTTGATGTAACATGTCGAATTTCCCACATTTCAATAATCTGATTATTATTGACAAGATTTAGCATTGCTTTGGCAACAATATCAATAAGATTTCGACTCTCAAACAAGTTAGGATCATCAAGATTGATCTGCAATTATATAATATACTAGGATTAGTATTAACGTTAATGTTAATATATTACTCCTTTTGGCACAACGTATATCGATATACTTACTGCACGATATCTTTGTAGTTCATCTTGTATTACCATTACACCATGATACTGCAGCAATTGTTTTATTTGATCCTCCTGAATTTTTAATATCTCTACAGTCAAATACTTTCGCAATACTTTACAGACATTTGGAAGAATAGTGTCAGCTGTTGCAACTAAGGCAGCTTTGGGAACCGATGCATGAAATAATGCATATTTTGTTTTTTTATCTTCCTCAAAAATGCATGCTGTTAACTTTTCTACATGGTTGTATTAGAATTAAAAATCAGCTTTTTGATTTTTGAATTATAGCTTTCGACTCTAGAAGTCAACAACATTCCTGCTGTAAATAATTTAAGCACAAACACCTTTGCCCAAGACTTTTTGCTAGCATAAAGTTGCTGTAAATAACTAACTACATTCTTATTATTATATTTTTCAAGTAGTAATTTCCATCGATACTCAAAAATCGTAACAAAGCCAGTTTGTTGCACTTCAAAAAAATTTTTAACAAACTCATCATACTGATCTTTGAGATGATTTTTTAGATTGAAAGCGATGTTCTGTGAAATATGAAACATACAATGAAGCACATTTGTAGTAGGAAATTCGTCTTGTATGGCAGCAACTAAGGCAGGGTCAGCATCAGTAAAAATAACTTGTGGAGTAGCTCCATGGGTTGCTTTTTTAATTTGCTGTAGTATCCAACTATGCACCTCCTTGGTTTCATCATCTGTTAATGTCTGTGCCACTAATCTAGAAGATAAGTGATTATCGACTACCAAAAAAAGTGATAATGCTATTTCATAATAATTAGTGGCACTAGTATTATCATTC